GGGGCCAGCGGGCGCCTGCTCCGAGCTCAAAGACGAGTGAGTCCCCGCGCCGCCCGCGCCCGTGTCCCCGGGGCTCACGCGGAGCTCACGGGGCGGCCTCCCCGCAGGCTGCTGAGCCGCGAGTCCCCGAGCGGCGCCCTCAAGGCCGTCCTGCGCAAGGCCCGGAGCAAGGAGGATGAGAAGCAGTTTCTGGAGGTGAGGACTTGGCCCCGGGCAGTGGGGCATGTGGCGCGGGGTGCCTGGTGCTGCTCCCTGCCGTGGCCGGGTGCTGCCCCGCCGGCTCTGCCCCCAGGTGTGGGATCAGAACCGCAAGGTGAAGAGCATTGACCTGACAGCTCTCGACAAGCATGGCAGCGTCTACGACGACGGTGAGCGGTGTGCGGGGAGGCACCTGCGGCCCTGGCGGCTCCCAGGCGGTCCCTGCCTGAGCCCCTCTCCGCAGATCAGTTTGGCTGCCTGGCCTGGTCGCACTCGGAGACTCACCTGCTCTACGTGGCTGAGAAGAAGCGGCCCAAGGCCGAGTCCTTCTTCCAGAGCAAAGCGCCTGAGCTGGGCGGCTCCGCCGAAGAGGACCTGGGCTGCCCCAAGAAGCCGGAGGCACCCGTCAAGGTGGGGAGGCCCGAGGGGCTGTACTGGGGGCGCTGCTCGCCAGCCCCGTGGCCCACAGTGCCCGTGGCACTGGCGGCGCGTTGCAGGGCGAGCAGTTCGTGTACCGCGAGGGCTGGGGCGAGACGCTGGGCAACCGCAGCGTGCCTGTGCTCTGTGTGCTCGACATCGAGGGCAGCAGCATCTCCGTGCTGGAGGGCATCCCGGAGCACGTCTCCCCCGGGCAGGTGAGAGCACGCGAGGCAGCCAACGTCTCCCACTGGGGCTGGGGCTCTTTGTTCTCCTGGAGAAGAGAGACCATGGGAAGAGCCGGCCCCGGCGTCGGACGGGATGGAGGACCCCAGGCGCAGGGCCTGAGCTGCTCTCCCGCTCTGCCCGCAGGCCTTCTGGTCACCCGGTGACACCGGCGTGGTGTTTGTGGGCT